ATTTATGATTGATTCGGTTGTGAGTTGCAGAGAGACTCCGCCCACAAACTCTTCTGATTGGCTGTGATTTATGATTGATTAAGTTGCGAGTTGCAGAGAGACTCCGCCCAAACGCTCTTCTGATTGGCTGTGATTTATGATTGATTAAGTTGCGAGTTGCAGAGACTCCGCCCACAAACTCTTCTGATAGGCTGTGATTTATGATTGATTAAGTTGCGAGTTGCAGAGAGACTCCGCCCACAAACTCTTCTGATTGGCTGTGATTTATGATTGATTAAGTTGTGAGTTGCAGAGACTCCGCCCACAAACTCTTCTGATAGGCTGTGATTTATGATTGATTAAGTTGCGAGTTGCAGAGAGACTCCGCCCACAAACTCTTCTGATTGGCTGTGATTTATGATTGATTTGGTTGTGAATTGCAGAGAGACTCCGCCCACAAACTCTTCTGATTGGCTGTGATTTATGATTGATTAAGTTGTGAGTTGCAGAGAGACTCCGCCCACAAACTCTTCTGAGTTTAAAAGGCTTTAATAATCCACAAGGCAAATTCCAGCTCAGATAAACAGCAGTCCAACACACACACACACACACACACACACGGATGAGCCCCGACACTGAAACTCAAACAGAACTGAACTGAAGTAGAGATAACGAGACACACACACACTCGTTTAATGTGTTTATTCTCACGTTTACACTCCTTTCCCAGCATGACCAATGAAAGATCCCACTAACTGATACTACAACCTTGTCAGTGGACTCTGTACTCGGATCAGGACAACGACCTCGGAGACTCTTCCACACACACACACACACACACACACACGTTCTGAACGTGCAACAACTGAAATGAAACTTGAATGAAACTAGAAATGGCCACGCCTGAGCTCCGGGGGGTCACGATATATCACAATACCAAAAATGCCACAATATACATGGTGGAAATTACCCAAAATAAAACGTTTCCAGAGTTTTAGTGTCAGAACTACATTAAACTACTGTATATAATGTTGAATATAATGTCTAATAATGCAATGTGGGAATATTTGTGTGTCCTGATAATGCCAAATGTCGTATGTTACCAGTAAAAGTGACACCATTATTTTAAAAAGAGATCAAGCATATTCATCTAAAATAATTCTGTGTTCATCTTCAGAATCATGAATATTGTTATTCTGGATTTCAGGGGTTTCAACACCAAGAACATTCATTTACACACACCATTGAGCATTTTAATCAACAGTGCTTATTTTGTGTTCACCTTTTCTCATTTGTCTTGGGAGTATCGCAGTAATATCGTATCATGAGTTCTCTTACAAAATGGTAATTTTGTAACTTTATAAATGATTGTCTTACATAAAATAGCATCAAGCTAACTGGCTACTATTTACACAGACAGCGTTGGCATTTGTTTACATTCCTGATCAAATCGGAAAAATAACGCCATAAAGTATACTATATATACATGAAAATACATTTATAAAAAGAGTACATAAAAAAACAAATTCAGGTCCAAAATGATTTCCCTTCTTTAATAGTTGGAGCTCAAATGTAGAGAGAAGGAGAGGGAATCCCTGTCCTGAGGCGACCTTCAGCGGAGGATGGACTTTAGAAGCTCGCTCGCTCTCTCTCTCTATGCATGTGTGTGTATATTAGTATATCATTTTTAGGATAAATACTAGGATTTAATTTTTTCAAGGTTTTTGTCTCTTGTGCACATTTTTATCCATCATTCGTGACGTGTTGGAGTGTTTTGATATAGTATTTTGGGTGCTGGACACCAACACCACAACTATACAATCTGCAGAAACACAAAGCTGAAACTTTGAAAACAAAAACGATGATTAAATGGAACGCTCTTCGGTTTATGATATATCACACAGCTAGACCTGTAATATCGACAAGTCCCAGAGATAGCCTAATGACATCATATCCGGGAGATCAGTCAGTAGATTGGAGTAAAATCAGTCCCCAGATAACACTAATCCAGAGCGAGAAGGGTTTAAGTCATGTTCTGTGTGTGTTATGCTGCTAATGGAAGCAGTTACTCATTAAAAGGGCCCTCATTAAACGAGTAGTTCACTTTAATAAAACTTTTGCTGATAATTTCCTCACCCCCGTGTCATCCAAGATGTCCGTGTCTTTCTTTCTTCACTCGAAAAGAAATTAAGGATTCCAGGATTTTTCTCCATATAATGGACTTCAATGGGGACCAAACGGTCCAAGGTCCAAAAGACAGTTAATAACAGTTTCAGATGCAGCTTCAAATGTCTTTAAACGACACCAGACGATGAATAAGGGTCTTATCATGCGAAACGATCTGTTATTTATATACGCCGGAAGTAAAAATCGTCCGACATCGTTGTTTTACCTTTTAATTCCTTTTTTTGTAAACGGCGTTTGAGTTAGTTTGCAACCTAAGCGTTCAACTTGTAAACACTGACTCTGTACTTCCGGCTATACGTCGCCGTGACCTTTTGAACGTAATTACGTATTACGTGACGTTACAAACGCGAGCAAGGCTAACATTTGTCCTTAGAAATGTTACATTTTTGGAATAAGTTTTGAAATAAGCGATCGTTTCGCATGATAAGACCCTTATTCATCGTCTGGTGTCGTTTAAAGACATTTGAAGCTGCATCTGAAACTGTTATTAACTGTCTTTTGGACCTTGAACCGTTTGGTCCCCATTGAAGTCCATTATAAGGCGAAAAATCCTGGAATCCTTAATTTCTTTTCGACTGAGGAAAGAAAGACATGGACATCTTGGATGACATGGGGGTGAGTAAATTATAAGTAAAAGTTTTTTTAAAAGTGAACTACTCCTTTAAAAGAGCCAGTTGACCCAAAATAAATTTGAGCAGTAACCCCATCATCTTTGCATTCGTTCATGGTGCCCTGAACACATTTTAAAGCGGACTCATAATAACCCACAGGTCCAAGTTTCACTTCTCTTTTTTTGGTTTTAAAAATAGTGTAAGCGTCCCCCACCCCATCACGCTCGTCCACAGGTCCACCTCCAGCTCTCTGGATTCCTCAAGTCAGGGGTTTCTCCGTCACACAAAGGCCTGATTTCTTCCTCTATTAAAGACATATAATAGAGTCGATAAGGGCACACCAGCGCTGCTCTCGACACATCGACCGGCTCTATAACGGCGGCTCACCTTCTAAAGGTTGCTTTCAATTCCACTACAAGTGGTTATTTTAAGCATTAAAGGAGTAGTTCACTTTTGAAAAAGCTTTTGCTGATAATTTACTCGCCCCCGTGTCATCCAAGATGTCCATGTCTTTGTTTCTTCAGTCGAAAAGAAATTAAGGTTTTTGATGAAAACATTCCAGGATTTTCTCCATATGATGGACTTCAATGGGGACCAAAACGGTTCAAGTTCCAAAAGAAGCTTTCAATACAAACTGCAAACTTGTTCAAAGGGCTTTAAACGATTCCAGACGATGAATAAGACTCTTATCAAGCGAAACGATCGCTCGTTTTATACATAAATAACAACGTTTAAGTTTTATAAGCTCAAACGCTCGCCTTGCTCTGTTCTGTAACGCACTCCTGTTCGAACTCGCTCGTCAAAATGAACAAATCTTTTTCCGAGTCAATCGGCGAAAGAAACGAACAAACTGATTCGGAAAAAGATTTGTTCATTTTGACGAGCGAGTTCGAACAGGAGTGCGTTACAGAACAGAGCAAGGCGAGCGTTTGAGCTTATAAAACTTAAACTTTGTTATTTATTTATTAAATGAGCGATCGTTTCGCTTGATAAGACCCTTGGAATCGTTTAAAGCCCTTTGAACAAGTTTGCAGTTTGTACTGAAACTGTCTTTTGGACCTTGAACCGTTTGGTTCCCATTGAAGTCCATTATATGGAGAAAAATCCTGGAATGTTTTCATCAAAAACCTTCATTTCTTTTCAACTGAAGAAAGAAAGACACGGACATCTTGGATGACACGGGGGTGAGGAAATTATCAGCAAAAGTGAACTACTCCTTTAAGCAAACTTTCTCGTGATCTGAAGTAGCATTGAAATTAAAGGGATAGATCACGCAGAAATGTAAACTCTGTCAGTAATGACTCGCCCTCGTGTCGTCCCAAACCCGTCAGACCTTCGCACATCTGCAGAACACACACGAATATATTTCTGATGAAATCCGAGGGGTTTCTGTCCCTCCATTTACCATGAACCGTTTGGTCCCCATTGAAGTCCATTATATGGAGAAAAACGCTGGAATCTTTTCATCAAAAACCTTAATTTCTTTTCGACTGAAGGAAAGAAAGACATGGACATCTTGGATGACATGGGGGTGAGGAAATTATCAGCAAAAGCTTTTTTACAATACGCAAAAGAAAGAGCAGAGCAGTGACATAAAGATGTGTAATTCCTGTGATAACGACTCGAGTATCACGATACTGAACTCATGATGCGATATTATTGCGACACTCAATTAAAATTGTAAATTTGGTATATCATTGTGTTTGTATCTGGACAAAGAGACTCCAGAATAACAATATTCATGATTCTGAAGATGAAAATACATAATTATTTTAGACGTATATACTTGCACGCTTTTTGACTGACTATAGATATATTCAAAAAAATGTCACTTTTTACTGGTAACATCAGACATCTGGCATTATCAGAACACATTGCATTATTATACATTATATTCAACATTAAATATAGTAGTTTAATGTAGTTCTGACACTAAAACTATTCACGATGCCTATTGTTGCGATATATCACTAATCAAACCCGTTTACATTTAAGACTTAAAAGATACGCATCCATTTAGGGCTAAAATCCGTGTAGAAATGCAGTTCATGACCTCAGGCTAATGGTTTGATCAGCCCAACCCTGATATGAACAATTAAAAGCCTTTGCAACTATTTAACCAACAATTCCAGATCAAGAACAGTACACAACCAAACACACCCCTGAGTGAAACACTAGTGTGTGTGTGACCTGTGATGATCATCGAGTCTCAGATACACTCACCCCTGGCAGAAAGCTTTTTAGTGTTGATGATTTTGGCCGCATATTCCTGACCAGAAGAGATTTTCATACATCTCCTCACCACAGAAAAAGCTCCTCTGGAAGTCAAAACATACATACAATAAATAAATAAATAAACTCATATACGTCATCATTTTAAATTACACACTCGCGCTGTTTTTATTTCTCACAATGTTCTCTATTATTGCTTTATACGTTCTGGAAGCAAACGAGAGGCTTGTGTTGAACAAAACGATGCACTCCTGCTTCTCAACATCAACAAAACTCGGTTTAGGAAACATATAAACATGTGGGTTTAAACTGAGGGGATTCTGATCAAAAACAGCAGTGAAAGTGTGACGAGAGAAGACTAGCTAACAGGTTTAGGATCAGGTGTGTGTCAACGCATCCAAACACCTCAGAGTCAAACTAATCCCAGTTTAACTTAATAATCATTTGACTTGACCAATAATGTAACTTACTTCCCCAGTTCCTCGTACAGCTGATACTCGTCGGTGAACCTGGTGCAGGTTGTGGAAGCCATGCCGAGAATCTGAGCGGTTCCCGAATCTCCTCAGTGCAGAGCTGAAGTAAAGCTTTCAACAGTGGAAAGAAATGGAAATGTCCAGGTCTGTCGAGTCCTCTGTCGGGTGTGAGATACAGACTGACTCTGGTTTGACACTGTTTGAAGTTGAAGCGCCGCACCTCTTCTGCTCAGAGATTCGCGAACGTGTTGTTCTTTTGAACCGGTTCTTTTTACTCATTCGATAGAACCGATTCGCAAAACGTGTGCGATGCGTTCGAGTCTCAAGGGATTCATTGATGTGAGCTTTTATGGCTGTGTTATCTATGCTGATTTGTAGTTTACGATTATATAAAAAAGGAATTATTATTGTTCCAAGATTTAAATTCTAGAAAATATATTGCCATACGGGAAATAAGTAGGCTAATTCACAAAAAAAATTATAATTGTGCAAAAATGTATGAACTCAACACACACATAAAAATAAAATTTTTAAAAAAAAAAAAAATAAAAAAAGAAATTACATTTCTGAGATCTTAATCTAGAAATAAAAATAAACTCAATTTGATTGATAGTTGTTATTTGAGACAAGATCTAGAACATTTTTCGTACAAAATATTTCATTAGAATTTATATAGTCATTATTAGAATTTGTCTGACAAGTTTTTTCGTATCAGTAAAGAATCTTATCTCTTCCTCAATTTCCCACAGAGAATTAAAACACACACACACACACACACACGGAGCCTTTATTAATATTGAAACTGTGATGTTTCACATGCTACATTTCACTCAATCATTGAAGCTCATTTAAAACACAAAGTAGCTAATAAACAGCAGTAGGCTTGAAATTAATTACTTTCACTTCGAAAATGAAAGTGTAAAATGCCATTCGGGGAAATTTGTAATTTGCGTGATGAATCAAATGAATCGATTCATTTGATTAGATCATTCTAACGAACCGATTCGCTAAATTTCCCAACTCTGCTTAATCTCTCCTATCGCGCTTCCTGCTGTTGAATGCGATGTAACAGCGCCACCTGGCGGCACAAACACGCGTGTACAAGAGTCTGAAAACTATAGTTTATCAATTATTGTTATATTAGGCTATATTGCAGGATATTCGTGAATGTGTGAGGACAGACTTCTGTTATGTAACTGAACTGAAGCGTGATACAGGTCTGTCACCTTCAGGTAACTGGATGACCAATTATCCTCTTAAAACACTAATCCTGTAAATCCGCTGCAGAATTCTCCCTCATCACTGTCTTAAAATCAGTGCAATGACAAAAAGCTCCCTCGCTCCTCTTGATTTTACAAATTAGGTCTCTTTGTCACTTTTTTCTCACTTTTTGGATTGTGGATGTTTATAAGGGTTATTTTGTGAAAGTAAAATCCCCTTAGAGCAAAACTTTCTGCATTTTTAAAAACTAAATAAATCAATAAATAAATAACTTTTTTCTAGCTTGTTTCCTCAATTTAGACCCACAGTGACACGAGTCCCCATGTGTGCATTCATGTACACACACACACGTTGTCCCCATGCACTCAGGTTCCCACCGGGATTATAGAAACACAGTATTGTTGTATATAAAGCAATGAAATCATGGAATTATTTTCCATTGTAATCAATTAAAATAACACAGAAATTACATTTTAAAAGGGAGGTAAAAGACACCTTGGATTATCATATTTAGGAGGTTATGCACAGAATTTAGATGTATGTCTTAGAAGTGTTAGACCCTGTTTTATATTTTATAAATACATTATATGGTTGTGATGTTGAATATGTTTTTGGACCCTGATGTTGTTATTGAGAGTATTTTAATTTAATTTAATTTTTTGTGTGTATGTGATAATAAATAATGTAAGTTTTTAAGTGTTGTGTGGAAAACTAGCAGTGATCTTGGACATAGCTATGGGGATCCAAATAAATAAACAACACACACACACACACACACACAAACACACACTGTGTTTACTTAGGCTAGCTAATTATAAATGGGGATATTCCCCATAGACACAATGAGTTTTATACTGTACAAACTGTATATTCTGTCCTCTTACACTAACGTTAACTCTAACCTACCCATCACACTAAACTTTCTGCATTTTTACATTTAAAAAAAAATTGAATTAGGCTACTTTAACTTTTATACCAAATGAGGACAAATTTGTCCCCAAAATATGGTACACACACACACACACACACACACTCGCGAAATTTCACCAGTCACAGTCACGCCAGCAGGCGCAGTATTGCCATTAGCGCATTTGTCGCTATATTTACCGACTTTTTTCTGACCGTAATAGCAACATTTAAAAAAAAAAGCGACTAGCGACAAATCTAGCGACTTTTTACACAAAGCTCTGTAACCTTCAAAAGTTCCCAGTTTTTTTGTGTTTTTTTTTTTCAAATGTTCCCAGTAGCCTAACTATCGGTCTTTGTCAGGTGACGTCACATCCGTGATAAACGAATTGAATTATAGCGGAGCCCGTCTAACGGAGAGCCTTGGCACTTCCTATTAGCCCCGCTGTGGATCATCCTGGTTGCAGTTCCATTAGAATTCCACTGGGGGTGATCGCGGGCGAGAGCAGAATGAATGGGAGTCTATGGGGCTAAACGGCTAAATGTGTCTCTTTCACCTGCTTGTCGTTAAATCAACATAGATTTTATTGTTGATTCCGCAAGTTCAATATAGATTATAGGCCAAAAGTCGAATGAACGAGTACTTATGTCCTTTTGATTTCTTACAGGTTAGGGTGTTGTTGGCCGGATCACGCTAGCATTCTGCTATTGTGTGACGTCATCACATTTTTAAAACAGATAAGTGAACTTAAAAAATTATCTTAGCCCTCCCTTTTGAATGCAACTTTCAAATTACTTGACAAAAAATTACATCCTGAGAAAAGTGGATTTCTGGGGGTGAAACCCCATTGACTCCCATTCATTCTGCACTCGACCGCGAGCGCCCCCGCATGGACAGAGACGCGTTACTGCAGCCAGTCCAGAACCCGGAAGTAACCAGCCAGTGCCAATTCTCTTCAATTAGACATTCTCTGGCGATACCTCAAAAATTGCTCCGCGGTGACGTCACACACAACAAATCCACATGTCTGACAAAAGAACAAAACACATTCAATGAAAACCGTAGCATTTTTAATTATGAATAATGTCCATGGCCCCCCTCCAGAAACTTCATATAACTGTTCAGGAATATTATGCAACAGTACAGAAAGTGTTTCCTTTAGGAAGGTGCAGCACAAATCTCCAGGAATGCAGAGACACTTTAACACTCGTGTTGCCCGTAGTTCTGCATGTGATCGGGTCCAGCTTTGCCTCATGGGTTTCGGTGTGTGTGTGTGTCCTCGGATCGGTCTCGGGGAAACGCTCCAGATTATGTAATGCGCTGCGTCATGTTTTCTGTGCTCAGGGCCGGACAATAAAACTCATGTTCATTTTTTTTTTTATATTTGTTGGAATGTACCGGGGTTTATGCATCTGTCGACGGACACACACACACACACACACACACACAGCTGTTCTCACTGAAGATGCAGGAAAGTATTACACGGCGTCTTAAACCAGGCAACAAGATGAGGCGATGAATTCATTTCAACGAAGTCCATGTGAAACTGCTGTGCTGTGACGATATACAGTAGAGATGCACAGATACTGTTTCTGTATTTCTACACATTTCTACTGACCAGCGTTCAGTTCATTTCACATTCAAACTAGTAAAACTACAAAATCACTTCATATCTCAAATCAACACTGCAAACTGCAAACGTTGACAGCCAACACACACACACACATATCACCCACAAAACAATGACCTAAAACACTAACAACAGGAAACTTTATACAGTGTTTTCCTCTGTAATGCTTTATTTCTTTTACCTCTCTATAGTATATACTTTATATTTTTTATGTTTTTAGAGTAATTCCAAAGTACAAAAATTTCATCCACTGATTCGGATACGATACGAATCAGCTGTGGTTGGTCCAATTGTTTTTATATTCTAAATATATTAGAAATGTGGCAAAATACTGTCTTTTGCATTATTGTATTGAACTTAAGTTTAACCGTTTTGAAAACACACCCCTGTCGGTAGATTTCTGCCGTCTGTTGTGTCGAAGTGAGAAAAGAATTAATGTAATTTAAAAGATGTAGTCATTGAATGCATTTTGTGCCAAAGCAATGATAAATGATCCAGAGTTTAGCCCACACACACTTCTGTTGAGCTCACTGTGTGAAGTTAAGAAACAGTGACCTAAGTGTTGAGAAATGTGTCCTAGCGAATGTAAAAAACGGTGACATTTTGGCCGATACGATACTTCGATAACCGATAACCGATATATCGGCCGATAAATCTCAATCAAATTTTATATAAAAAGTCTCACCATTAAAATCCACGTCTCAAACACACAATTATGATGTTCTCATGAAGCCGATATGACACACAATTGATTGAAGTGATTCCAATCAATGTTGAACAGTGAAGCGTCTCAGCTGAAGGAAATTATACATTATTTATCGACTGTAATATAATGACGATAACGTTTAAAATGATTTATCGGCCGATACCGATGTGGTGGCCGATATATCGTCCATCCCTAATAAACACTTCCTGGCCAAAGAAAGATTGGATTTAAATATGCAAATTCTTAAAAATCTCTGATTGGATCATTATTGCAGTGATTATTAGCATGTTCAACGCATTCTCATCCCAAAGCGCCATATACAGCGCTTTTGCAAAAGCGTAAATATCCAACGCACCCTTTAACGTCTAATGAGACGCTTCGGTTATGGTTAAGTTTAGGTATGGTGTAGGGTAAGGGTTAGACCACTAGGAGGCGCCTTCTGCCCAAATATATCTGCGTCTCATTTTACGTTAAAGGGTGCCATGTGCGTTGGATATTTACGCTTTTGCAAAAGCGTCCTTTATGGCGCTTTGGGATGAGAACGGGCTCGCATGTTATATATTCTTCAGCAGGTCTTCTAACTTTAATAGTGTTTCATTTCTAAAACAACCATGTATGAAGACCTCCACAAAGCCAAGATTCATCAGACTCAAACTGTGAAGGTATATGATGTGAAAACTTGTGAAAACTCTCAAATTTGCTTGTTATAAGTGTGTGTGTGTTGGCAAGGTTCAGTTTATACCTTGAAAATCAGTACCATCAATACTTTGTTTATAGATTTAAGCCCATATCCATTCCATTATTGTCTTTTTAACATCAAACCAAATATAAAATCTTGAAATTTCCCAGAGAGCAAAAAAAAAAAAAAAATGGGGAGACTGAGAAAAAGAAGTGTGTATTGATCTTACATTCAAGTTTACCTGGTGCCAGACCAGGCAAAGCAACACACAGAACAATGATATTTGAACCAATGAGATCATCACAGTGATTAAAAAAATACTTCACTTAATCCTTCCTAAAGTGTTTGTTTTTCCGAGGTTCGAAATCGTCTCATTTTAAATGTTCGATAAGAAAATAGCACCAGTTTCTTATGCAACCCAATTTTTTTAATTCAAGCTCTATGACAGTAGTAATTCAAGTGGTTTCCTTCCTCCGCATGCATGACTCCTCAGTGAAGGTTTGTTGTTTTGTGCCTTTAGAGCAGGGCTATTCAAGTGAGGACCTGAGAAACGCTTTCCTTGCCAATATTTCAGCAGTTATAATCCATAATAAAGGCTAGATATCTCATCCGCTGCTGGCCAATGGAGGTTAACGTCCGCACTGGCGGCCATCTTGCTACAGTCAGCTCGCTCACTCATAACATTGTTTACGGCAATGGTTTTAATGGCTCAATTTTCTGCCTATATTCAAACGGTTTGGTTTGTTATAAACGTCAGCGATGTAGTTAAGACACTGCACACTTATGAATAATAAGTGTATCAATAAATAATCATCCAGAATTATAGTGACGTTAATAGCGTTTGTAAGAAACCAAACAGTTTGTAAATCCGTCAAGATTTCATTGAGATAAGGGTATTTGTGTTCGTGCCGATCCCTCATCTTACATCAGGAACCACAGAGCTGCCAGAAAGCTTGCCTGTGACAAGATGGCCGCCGGTGATGACGATAGAGACTCCGCCGTAAGACATCCAGCCTTTATTATGGATATCTATGAGCGCACTTGCATAACGTTCTGAAACCGCTCCGTCACTGAATCATCTGAAGCGGTTTCTCGGTCATTAACAACAAATAAAGGACAAATCACACTGTTTTCAGTTGTTTTCTTTGAACTACGCAGAACGGCCCAGCGGATAATGCAACGCAAGATTAAAGGAGTTGCGTTTACTCTTGATCCCGGACGCTACTATTAAACAGCGTTGCGACATCCAGTGAGAACCGCTTCGATACGACACACCTCTCTGACGAACCACAAATCAATCGGTGATTTAACTAGTTTTAAATCGGATTAAACCGCCTCTACATTCACCAACACGACTGATGAGGAATACAGCTGAAACATTGTGCCATGAGCGAAGTTAGAAGACTTTAAATCCCCCATCACCATCATCAACTTCCGCCTCACCGACCCACCTCAACTTTTCGATTGAATAATCTGGCCCTCGAATGGAGCTAATTAAATAGCCCTGCTTTAGAGGCACCAAACGGAGTTGATCTAAAGCTTTTCTTCCACTCCTCCAGTCTGCCGCGGGTTGTCCTGACCAAAAACTTCTTGAGCCGAACTTTGACATTTAATACTTTACAATGAAGAGCGAAGCTTTGAAAGTCCCACAGTGTTTCCACTCCATAGTTCTCTGCACATTGAACTGGGATATAACATATTTAAAGTATGAAAAGAAAGATCATGAATTGAAACATTACTTCTACATCCCTGAGTTCATTACGGTACCAAGAATGTCAAACAAAATGGAAGCCAACAATTCTATAGACCTCAGGTCTTTCTTTTGAATTTCCCTCTTCGTTTTCCTTTCTTCCAACTCTTCATCTGTTCTAAATCATATTGGAGATGGTTATCATCCTCATCTTCATGTTCATCATCATCTGTGTACCAGGGGCCCCAGACCCCCCCATTATACTGAGGATTGGACCGATAATCTTTGGGGGGGTAACGGCACGGCACGGCTGTCTTGTTGTACCGTAGAAGCCTGAATAGCATCTTCTTCACCACATGTGGGTATCGTCGGGAAAGATCCACTCGTTCATATGGATCAGCTGTGATGTTGAAGAGCCATATAGACTTGCCTCGATCCCAGCTCACACGCTCGTTTTGCCAACGATTGGCCAACAGCAGGGTGGAGAAAGTCTGCGGTGGGATCCAGTCACTATATCCTGGCACACCAGTCAGAAGCTTCCAGTCACCGACACGGAGAGCCGCCCGAATGGCCGTGTTCCAGATCCCAAAGCCTGCTTTCCAGGAGCCATTCTTGGCTTTGGTGTAGATGGGGTCTATGTTGTGGAGAATATCCAATCGAGGTGAAGGACGTCCCTCACTGATGGCTTCCCAGATATCATAGCCATCAAGACTCTGGTCCTCATCTAGCGTTCCCTCACCAAGCATCACCAGTGTTGGGTACCAATCAGTAATATGAATGAGAGCCCTGCTTCTAGTGCCCTTTTTGATCAGTAGAGGACTATGTACGAACCCTACCGCCCGTATACCTCCCTCCCAGTAAGACCCTTTACTGCCTCGGAGTGGCCAATTGCTGCCTCCTGCCATTGGTTGGCCTCCGTTGTCTGAGGAGTACACCATAACCATGTTGTCATAATATCCATACTGCTTGAGAGCAAGAGTTAGATTGCGTACAGCCTCATCCAAGCAGCTGACCATCGCAGCATATTTACGACGATGTAAGTTTGGGATGGACTTGTAGCGTTCGAGGTAGCGAGCAGGAACCTGTAAGGGAGAGTGCACTGCCTGGTACGCCAAGTAGAGGAAGATTGGCTGATTCGGATTGTGAGATTCGAGGATTTTCACAGCCTTTTGAGTATACATAATGGTGGAGTAGATGCCACGGTCCTGCTCCCAGGCAGCTTCTTCCCCCTCGTGAAGATCGTACCCACACATCCCCGGGCTGTCACATTTGTAATGGTTGTAGTAGTCGCCGGTACCCAACAAAGAGCCAAAGAAGGTGTCGAAGCCACGCTGCGTAGGCATACAACCTCGCTTATAAAACCCAAGGTGCCACTTTCCCACCATATGAGTAGAGTACCCAGCATTCTTCAGTTTCTGCGGAAGGGTGACGTTCTCCAAGGGAAGGCAATTCGGCTGAGTCGGTCGGATGATGGAATGCTGGAGGCCAGTGTGGATTTGATATCTAGGACATAAAAATGCACTAAATTAGTAACAAACATGACAAGCACTGAATAAAACAGACATTTGAGACAGACAGACATACATCCGGCACAGGGCGTGAGTCCCAAGTGTTTTTTGCTAGTTTCAGCCTGACGCGATTATCATTTTCTAGGCAACTGAAATAGACTGCTAAATCTAAATCAATGGTGCAATTTTTGTCATTTCATGAGCGCATTAATAATATGGGCGGGTCCACAACCCGCTTACACTTTGCTTATTACACACACAGGGACGCAAATAGCCAAATATTACAAATAAAAGGACTACGTGTAGATAAATTGTGGAATCCGGCTTGTCCCGTAGATGGTCTGCTTGGGTTTTAACCTCGCGCACGCGCAGATCCGTTTGCACTCTGGAGACGCGTTCAGTTTTTCCGCCGTGTAAATAGCGAATCCGATGGCGAACTGGCTTTTAAAGGGAATGGGAGATGAGACTTTGATTGGTTTATTGCACGTTACTCCAAAAAACGCACATATTACTCATTAAGCAACATGACATCATGACTTTTGCGTAAACATACACGCCACTTTCGAGTCAAGTGGCGTTTTATCTATACGCATTTTGAGCTATCTGCGTGTATGCGTGTATGTCTACGCCATTAACGTCGGAGTGATTCCGCGTGTCTGTACACGCCGTCAAATATCCGTGCGAAACAAAGCAAAATGTACATCTTTTTTTCCTAGGATGGTAAGGGAACACTCATAAATGCCATTAACCCCAGTGACGGCTAGGTTTAGGGACGGGGTTGAGGTAAGTCATATATTTATATATACAGTAATAACGTTTAGTCAACGGCGTTCATAAACACGCTGAAAAGCGATTATGCGTGTTGATAGCACGGCAAAAATGGAAATACGAATTGGCGTGTCATACACACGCTACTTCATGAGATCAGTCTGCATTAAGCCTTTTAGACCAGCGCCGGGAGCGCCGACCATTTACCATCATTAAAATAGTAAAAGTGGATTCGGACACCCACTAAGTGCACTTGCTTTAGACCATGCGCTTAGATCGTTAAAATAGGGCCCTACATTTTGGGCTCAGGAAGGGAAAGGATTTAATTCCGATTGAAACAAAAGATGTCCATGTAAACTCAGCTAGTGTGCTTGTAATGTTGTAATATGTAATGTTATATGGCAGATCAAGTGAATGGGATCGGGATTAGGCCAAATTCAAACCTGCGTCCCGTCGAGACATCAGGACTTATGCAGTTCCAACCACAGCTTCATTCTGTAACTCCCTTCAAATTCATCTAGCTCACCCAAAAGTGACCATTCTCTCATCATTTACTCATTCTCATGTTCTTCCAAACACATTTAGATGGTCTTTCTTTCATGCTACAACCGGATGATCGAGTCAGTGAGTTCAACTCAAGAGCGTTTAAAGAACTGGATCAACTTATTGACAGGATCTGACAAAGAACAGTTTGTTGTAAATAGGACATAGGTACCTTATCTCATAAAGGACCGCAATGGAAACACGTTTTTAACTTTATCCTAGACAAATGAGTGTATTTCACTACTTTCTTTAAACTAAACACACAACCCAAATGTCCCACAAGACACGTTTTTTTGGTCACCAAAGCCACTGAGAAACACGAATCCCTAACCAGCCTGTGCTGGAAGACTTGCTGAGCCATGTTCTGCCGTTCGCTCCACATCTGCTTTCAATAAGGGGAACATACTCTTCTCTACAGCTAATCAAACTCAGACCACAGAGCATTAAAACACACTCCCTCGTTCCCACTAGACCAGCCATTCATTACACCCTTTCTCTTTTCAGTAACCCACACACTAACCATCTCAAGGACTGACCACAGCAGACTCATCCCAAGTCCTTCAAAGTCATCTTTAAGGAATTAGTTCACCCAGAATTGACGATTCTCTCATCATTTACTCATTCGTGAGCCAGTGAGTTCAACTCGAGAATGTTTAGTTAACTGGATCTCACACAATTTTGGCACGATCCGTGTGACGTAGGGTGTAGTGGTGATTCGCAAGAATCAATCGCTTTATCAAGTCAAGTCACCTTTATTTATATAGAGCTTTTTCCAATACAGATTTTTACAGAGATGAGAGGAAAATAATGCAACCAAGTTCGTTTGAGTGAGAGACTGTATGTTTTGAAGGCTTAATTGCTTATATGTTCTAACACACCAGCTTATTCATGACCATACGGCTAACATATTCATACTAAAAGCTAAACGTGCCTTTAAAGTAATTGAGTGGAGTTAGAGCACTCTAAAAAATGCTGGGTTGTTTTAACCCAATTTTGGGTCAAATATGGACAAACCCAAATGTTGGATTAAAAAATGCAATTTATAAATGTAACCCAACAGCTGGGATTGTCCATATTTGACCCAAAATTGGGTTAAAACAACCCAGCATTTTTTTAGAGTGCTCTAACGCCACTCGATTGCTTTAAAGGCAAGTTTAGCTTTTAGTATGAATATGTTCATATTTGCCCAACCCAAAACAACCCAGCGTTTTTTAGAGTGAAGGCTTGTATAAATGAATGGTGCACAAGGAATATCATACTTCTATTATGCTTATTTGCCATTTAGCCCCCTTTATTCCCCCTTAGTGTTTGGTTGCCTCCTGGTTCTGAGCCACAAAACTGCATATTTTGAATACTTTCTTGATCTAAACCCCCTGATTTTCTCAATAACTCATCCACTTTTTACTACCGTGCTCATGAACTGAATCAGGTGTTTCAAATAAGGTGCAAAGATAAGAAACCACAGTCCTCTTCATAATGTCTGATTGAAGGTTTTTCAGCTGGACTGTCCCATGAAGACGCTGAAAATCACGAGAAGTTCATTCCTTATATCAGATGGCAGTGGGAATACCTTAAAAGGGTAAAAGCTAAAACGAAGAACTGAACGCACTGCTTATATGAGCAGATGTGATGTTTTTGGACTCATCCATCAGAGAAGCAGAACGAGTTTCAACTTAAACATAACCAATGCCCGTCTCTTTCCATTACATTTAGAATAATTTAGACGGCTGTTTTAGCTTCGAGAGATGGCTAAGCATTTGCCAAGGTAAGCCTCTTTTTCTGTAATGTAATCTTTTTGGTGAAGCCCCTTTTTTTTGTTGAAAAGCGCTTTAAAGATGAAGCAATTCACACTTAAAAGAATGGCAATTTAAGACAATTTCACTACTAAAAGCAGCTGAAACACATTTCCATTTGCAGTGTTTCTTTAAAATAATATTGTCAACAAATATTAAAGGGGTTATATCTTGAGCCTAGACAGAAACGTGTCCTGTCCCGTCATGGGCTGATAATATTTAATTTTTAAGCCCCATAAACAAGTTCCCTTTCCATTTTTAACCTTTTTTAACCATTTCAGCATGGATTGTTTTATGAAACTGTCCCAATAATAACTTCTAAGGGGCAAAATACGGTTTAAATTTTAATTATTCACATACAACGCCTTAGCAACCACAGAAACACACTAGCAATTGCCTAGCAACTACCCAGAACACCCTAGCAATAGCCTATAAATGCTCTAGCAACCGCCTAGTAATGCCTTAGCAAACACCCAGGGTGTTCTGGTTGGTTGCTAGGGTGTTGCGGGTTGTTTCTAGGGTGTTTCTAGGCGGTTGCTATAGTGTTGTTATGCGTTTGCTAGGGTGGTTGCAAAGGTGTTGCTAACCAGTTGCACCTAGAACACCATAGCAACTGCCTATCAACACCCTAGCAACTACCCAGGATACCCTAGCAACCGCATAGTAACACCATCAACCACCTAGCAACACCCCATAATATCTTAGCAACCACCTAGCAATCACCCAGAATGCCTTATGAATTATCTATTCAAACCACACAACACGGTCACACACACACACTGACCCACAGTATATTACCCAGTAAATCCCTGTCTCACAGCCAGAGAGCCATTCACTGTAACTGACTGAGGGAGGAGTTGATTCATTCACCGCTTACAAAGCAAATTTCCAAAAGAGATTGCTTGCAACCTTCCCGTTTCCCGAGGCGTGGACCAGATGTTTCGCTGTGGGAACACTGGAGTCAGGCATTCGACACTAAAACACCAACTGGTTTGCATCCTGTTATCACTGTAAAGCTGCTATGAAACGATCTGTAGTGTATGAAGTGCTATAGAAATAAAGGGGACTTTATCATGCATATAGAAATTGACTTTCAACATGAACCTACATCTTATGGAAGCTAGTTTCCGCCACAAAATACAAAATAAAAAAGGTAATTGAGACTTTTTATCTCACAATTCTGGCTTTTTTTCCCTCACAATTGTAAGTTTACATCTCGCAGTTCTCAGAATTGGGAGATATAAAGTTGTACTTGTGAGTTATAAAGTCATAATTGCGTGATATTAACTCGTAATTCTGAGGAATTTTTTTTATAAGACTAGAATTTATATCACGCAATTCTGACTTTATATCTCTCAATTCTGACTTTATATCT